TCAAGTGATTCTCCTGCCTCAGCCTCCTGAGTAGCTGGGATTTCAGGTGCCTGCCACCGTACCCAGCTAATTTTTGTATTTTTAGTAGAGACAGGGTTTCACGTGTTGCCCAAGCTGGTCTTGAACTCCTGACCTCATGATCCACACACCTTAGCCTCCCAAAGTGCTGAGATTACAGATGTTAGCCACTGTGCCCAGCCAGTATCTTTCCATTTATTTGTGTCTTCTTTAATTTCTTTCATCTATGTTTTATAGTTTTCAGTGTTTAGGCTTTTCATCTATTTGGTTAAATTTGCTTCTATGTATTTTCTTTTTTGATGCTAGTACAAATGGAATTATCCTTTTTTGGATAATTTATTGTTAGTATATTGAAAGAGTACTGATTTTTGTATGGTGATTTTATAACCTGCAACTTTACTGATTTTGTAAGCTGAAAAATCAACTGTATGTTGCTTTTGCAACCTGCAAATTTATCAGTTCTAAAATATTTTTGTTTTTCTGTATGTAAGATCGTGTCATCAACACACAGAATTTCATATCTTCCTTTCCTGTAAGAATACTTTGGGCTTCTTTTCCTTGTATAATTGTACTGGCTAGGATTACCAGTGTTGTATTGAATAGAAAAGTGATGAGTAGGTATCCTTGTCTTATTCCTGATCATAGAGGAAAAGGTTTCAACTTTTCGCAAGTGAGTATGATGTTAGCTGTGGGCTTATCATATATGGCCTTTTTTGTGTTGAGGTATATTCCTTCCATGTTTTTTAGTTTTTATCATGACCAGATGTTGAATTTTGTCAGGTGCCTTTTCTGTGTCTATTGAGATTATCATGCAGTTTTTGTCCTTCATCTTGTTAATACAGTGTATCACACTTACTGATTTATGTATGTTGAACCATACTTGCATTTCTGGGATAAATACCGCTTCATCATGGTGAATGATCTTTTTTAATGTGCCACTGAATTTGGTTTGGTAGTATTTTGTTTAAGATTTTTTCATCTATGTTCATCAGGGATATTGGCCTGTAATTTTTTTTATTGTAGTCTATTTGTCTGGCTTTGGTATCAGGGTAATGCCTCATTGTGAGTTTGGAAGTATTCTGTCCTCTCTAATTTTTTGGAAGGCCTTGAGAAGGATTGGTTTTACTTTTTCTTTCAGTATTTGTTTGGTATAATTCAACAGTGAAACCATCAGATCCAGGGTTTTTCTTTTCGGGGAGACTTTTGATTATTTATTCAGTCTCCTTACTCATTATTGGTCTGTTCAGATTTTCTCTTCAGGGCCCCAGCTTCCAATATCATTACATTGGCAATTAAGTTTCAACATGTGTTTTGGTGGGACATTCATATCATAGCACTTAATTGTGTAAATTCAACATTTAAAATAAATTCCCAGGATAAATCTATTAAAAATTATTTTAAAAATGAAGCCAGAAGATAGCCACTTGAGAGGTGATATAGAAACTAGATATGTCTTTCACCAGATCCTAAACCTTGGTTAACTCTGTCTGACTGAGGGTCATGGAATTATAGAGATATACTCTTGAGTCCATTTTGCTGAAGTCCACATTCAAATATATGAATCATGAGGAGGCCCACAAGTGAATCAGCAAATAAATGGACTGCATGGTATGTTTCCAAACAGTTTATGAAATTAAGACTTTCATGGTAGAGACATAATATAAATTTAAGAACTGTTAAGGTTTGCCCTTTTAGTTAGCACCTGTAGTCCCACCTACTCAAGAGGCTGAAGCAGAAGGTTCACTTGAGCCCAGGAGTTTGAATCTAGCCTGAGCAACAAAGACACAATCTCTTTTATTTTTATGTTTTAATTTGCCCTCTTCAAATAGATGACCACAATTCCCTAGAACTATTTTTAAAAATACAGGGGAGAAATTAGAGAATTAAGGAAGAATATGAAAATGAGAGGGAGAAAATATTCCAGAAATAATTTGTTGACCACAGATCTTATAGCCCACACTTACAACACTTCTAAACATAAAGTACTTAAAATGGTAATACAACAAACAGAATGATGTATATATGAGTATGCTTCTTTTTTTTTTGGTTTATTTGGCTGTATATCAGTGTTCTATAGTTTTAAAATTAGCTAGAATAAGTTTTAGATATTCTTGACCATTTGTTTTGACATATTAATTTTAAGATCAACTTAGCAAGTTGAGGGGATTTTGATTAGAACTCCACTGAATTTTACAGAATATTTTGGGTCAAAACAAAATCTTTAAACATGTGTAGTCTTCCTAGATATAAGCATGTGTATGTCTGTATTTTAATCAGATGGTCATTTATGTTCTTTAGTAATGGTCTTCTCAAATGCATTGCATATCCTTTGCTTTCAATAATGTATTGCATGGCCTTTGCTTTTCAAATGTGTTGCATGTCCTTTGCTTTCAATAATGAATCAAATACAAATTTTGTCAAGGAACAGAAAATAGGGAAAGCTACCTAACGCATGTTGTAAGGCCAGTGTAATCTTGATACCAGTAAAGGGCAGTCCAAGTAAACACAATCACAGACTATTCTTAAGAGCATAGATGCAAAAATCTTAAATAAGTTGAAAAAAGTATATATTTTCAACTTACCAAATTCTTCTCTGACTGTAAGGATCTATTATGAAAGTAACATGCTATTCTTGGATTAAAAAGTAAAAACCACATGATTATTTTGATTGTACATTTAAGTTGTTTCCAATTTTTAACTGTTATAAACAATGCTTTAATTACCAATCTTGGACACTGTCCATCATTTCCTTAGGAAGATTTACCAAAAGTGCATTTTAAATTATGATAATATTGTTAAAATACAGGGCCAGTAAACTTTTTCTACAAAGGGCCAGATAGCAAATATTAGAGCTTTGTGGGCCAAGAGGCAAAAGTGAAGTTATTATGTTGGTACTTATATAACAAGATAGAAAATGAATTTTCATAAATTTTTATTGATGAAATTAGAAGGGTACAATTTTTGTGATATAGCTCTACATATGTGAAGAATGGAATCCTTTTCAGAGGAGGTAACATATCACTCAGTTGGGTTTGAAAGCTGGTGTTTCCTATCATCAAAATCTTTAGCTAATGTTCATCTGTTAATGCTGATCTACAATGAGATTTTAAATATTTCACCTTTGAAAATGACTTTCCACATAGATAAGTATTGCCAAATACTGATATCAATCCATGAGTATGGGATTTTAATTGAGTATATTTACAGACTGGCAGGCATTTTTAGAATTCTATTAGCTAAAAGGCTAGAATGCCTTTTAGCATGTCATTACATTGCAAATCACTTCCAATTAAAGTTCCTCAATTGCACAGTTAAATGGATTTTGGAATATGTAAATTTCCTTTACACTTGCATCAAGGTCTGAAAAACACTGCTGTGGTTTGAAATCAGAAAATACATTGCTGGGAATTTGTGTAGGAATGGAGATATCACTACACACACACACACACACACACACACACACACACACACACACACACAACTTTTGACAGTGCAGGAAGTATGTAATGCAGCCTGGCATTACTTGCAATTAAAACAATGTTCTCGATACAATGACTTTTTCACAGTATGTTTCACATATAAGTTTCACATATAAGCACTGTTTTACTTTGTAACTTTAGCCTGAAGCCTTTTCATGTCTGCAGCAAAAGCTAACTTCAAAGCCACTCAGAGTTCAGTAGCAGTGACTGAGCACAGTTCTTCCAACCATTATAAAAGTAAAAACCATTTTTAACTTGAGGACTATATAATAAGCAGGCTAGGTTTGACCATAGCTTACTGACCCTTGCACTATAAAGTCTTAACCAACTATATTCCCAGTAAAGATTAAATGCCTGTTTTCCCCAAACTTTGCAACCTGTAATTATTATTTACTTTTAAAGATTTATCCAATTTGAAATTGGGTTATTTACTTTTAAAGATTTATCCAATTTGAAATTCCATTTTTCAGCTTGCATTTATTTGCATAAGGTCACATATCTTTTAATGATTATAAGCCATTTATGTTTATTTATTCACTGTAAACTGGTTTTTCATATTCTTTTCCCATTTTTATTTCAATAAAATTTTCATTCCAACAATCGTTCTGTGTACCAAAAAGAGTTCTAAATCCTTTTTAGTGGCTCTCCTTACTTGTTCAGTATTACTTTTCACTGCTTTCTCCCACACATCCAGCACTCTTTCCATATCGAAAGATCTGCCATTGCCTGAGAGAGTTGTGTTTTCTCAAGCTTCTCTGCATATCTGCACCAGATGTCATTCATTCACTGTCACTCACCTTTTCTCCATTTTCCCCCTCTTAGAGTGACTCTTCTTATTCACCCTTGGAGACTCCGATCAGATATCAGCTCCTCTTTGGCTCTACAGCACTCTGCAAATATGTGCTATAAAATCTATCAAACTTTTACGTCATTAATTATTGGTTTACAGTGGTCTGTCTCCCCACTGGGCACATAGGTTTTTGAGATACAGTATTATAATTGATGGCCATACTCTAAATCAGTGCCTAGCATGTAGTAGGCACTAATTATTTAAGTGAGTTCAAAATACTAATAATATTATAACAAATATATGCCAGACACAGCAACACATCTGTTTAGTATCCTTTGTATTGTACTTAGCTTGATGTACAATTAAAATTTGAAGACCAACTCTCAGGTATTAATGTCTTACCAAAGAAAAATAACAATTAACATTTTTATTCTCTGACAAAACTGAGTATGTCAAACACTTTATTAAAAACTTGTATTTTCCCTCACAGCTTAAAATAATTTATTTAAATATTTGCCTTTAGTTATAGCTGTGATCTCCAATTCAGAAAAATTTGCTTATACTAGAAAACTAAGAATCTTAAAATATAGAAAAGAATATTTACAAACTGTTTCTATTTTGTAATCTAAACAATAAGTTTCTTTCAAAATCATCTTTGTAACTTGAGCAAGATTCATTTTGGATCAACTTTTTATTTTGCTTTATTTCCTCAGGATATTCATTATCTTGCACTAGATAAAGGTGAATTTGCACTAGCTGAAGTGGCAAGAAAAAGAGCTAGTGACATTGATGCAGAATCAATAACCTCTGGAGTTGGTAAGAATTAATGCTATTTTTAAGTGCTTTTATTTTAATCAATGCTTAGTATCGTTTCTATCTGGAGGACATGGTTGGTTAATTTGAATTACTTTCTTTGTAAAGACAGTGCCTTATAAAAAGAAGAATTAAGACTTGACAAACAGTGCAATGTCGATACACAAGTTGGAATTGTGTTTATATGAAAATTTATATTCAGTGATTACTATAGTCATTTATCAAAAAGTCAAAAGGATATTGTTCTTTTCATAAGATTTTCAGAGAAAGAGCTTAATATTAATATTATCATTAGTGCTATTATTAAAACTAACCAACACAGAAATTTAATCCTTTATTTAGACAGACATGTCATTTCTCAAAAGAATTCTCTCCTATATCAGGCAAAGTATTTCATATGGGATTTCGGATTTGATGGGTGATCTGTTTTTGTTTAGAAGCTGCTAGAATCATTTTAAACTGTAGTATTCTAAAGAATACAGATCAGAAGCCTTAGAATGAATTTAAAAGTTCATTTAAACTTTATAATATAAAAAAATTGTAATATCAACACTAATATCTTTTTTTTAATTCAGTTTATCTAATGCCACTAAGTTGTGTGATACTGATACTTAGAAATCCAATTCCTTTTCTTCCTATTTATTATTCCTAAGTTAGGCAAAGAACCCTCAGGATTGTACTAGAATTCATTTTTCTGTGAAACTCCTCTGAAACAAAGAAGTTTTAATAATATTTCCACTTTGTAAGTGCTTGAAAAACCTTATACGAGCCTCTCCATTGATAGATCTTGTGCTTTGTTTTTGTAATGCTGTTTGCATCCAAAGGGACCAGTTGTCAGCTTCTCTCAGACAGCACCACGTAGATCCAGTCTTCAAGGTGGTATTGAAGGATTCAAAACCATTTCATCAGGGTAGCTGTAAACCTGAATACCAGGGCTCTCAGGTACTAGCAAGATAATTCCATTCTCCTTCCCCCATCCTGAAAGAGTTCCAAATTGATTAGACCAGTTTCATATCTCCATTTCTAATGGATAAGGAATACTTGCTATTAATGCAATATTAGATAAGAATATCTGTAACTGACCTATCATTACATTTTGTTACTTGCTAGGGAAGGATATTACTGTGTCTACTACTAATAATAATAGCAACTAATATTTATTGAATGCTAAGTTACAGATATCAACTAATTTTCACTACAACTCTGTGAAATAAGTACAACTTACATTTGTTATGAGAAGTCATTTCTAACTAAATGATGAAAGCATACCATGTTTATAGGAATGATGACATTATATGATGGAGATACAAACATCCTTCATCCCTATCCCTCTGGCCATGTAGGAAAACACAGTAAGAAGTCATAGCCAGTTGTCTGGAAATTTTCCTTAGTTGTCCTGTACCCTGCCTTTTCTACCAGGGTATCAGATATAATGAAGGCCATCTTTGCATTTTAAAGTTATTTAAAATTAGTAAGAGTGAAAGAGAATGTGAAGAGATTATCACAAAATTTCAGCAAAACAAAGAAACTCCCCGATTCACCAAAATGCATCTCATTCCCTGTGTATTATCTGATGAGGTTACCATGGTCAGTGGATAATTCCTAGCCGGAAAGCTTAGTGTACCCGCTTTGAGTCCTGCATCATTTCTATCAAATATATTTTCACTGATACCTTGTGACTTCCGTTTTCTCAGCCTTGTCTCAGGCCTCAGCCTTTGACCTAGATTACTGTGTTTTGATAAAGATACTATTAAATAACATCAGTAACTTTTAGGAGGTTGCCCTATTAGATGAATGTTCTACTCTACTTTTGCTGCAGAAACCTGGGTGATTCTCACTCATAATTCTAAATGGAATAGGAAAGAATGTCTGGTTTCCTCATCATGGTCTCTGCTTAGTTCTTTTTGTAGTCTGCATCATGCTGGGGAAACTAATTTTCTCTCAAATTCCCTCTATTTAATTCAGTTATTCTCTTAAACTTATCCCAAAGCTGAAAGTTATTAAATTTTTGGCTTTCAAAGTGGTTCTTTGATGCAAGTAAGAAGCCAAATTATGTAAGACAGCGAAAGAGTATGTAAGTAGTTCCATTTACATGGGAGAGTCTCTAAAAAAGCATCAGATATAAATGCTGTCACTACAGTTATAAGCAAGAGTTGCCAAAGGAAAAGCTGGATGATGATAATCTGAACAATTTGGTAATTTTTAAAACTTTTTATTGAAGTCCAACATGCATACAGAAAAGTGCACAAAACATAACTGTGTGGCTCAATGAATTTCACAAAGTGAACACATCCTTGTAAACAGTATCCTAACTAATAAACTTATGTTACCAGGACCCCAGAAGCCTTCCTGTATCCACTTTAAGATGCTATAATCTCAGCCCAGATGTCCAGAATTGTAACATTATAGACTAGTTTTGCCTTTTTTCAAACTTAAATCGATTCATATGTATATTCTTTTGTATTTGGCTCCCTCTATTCAACATTGTCAGTCTGAGCATCTTTCATATTGTTGGATATAGATATAATTTTTCTACTCTTAATGCTGTATAACAGTATTCCAGGCCGGGCACAGTGGCTCATGCCTGTAATCCCAGGACTTTGGGAGGCTGAGGTGGGCAGATCACAAGGTCAAGAGATCGAGACCGTCCTGGCCAACATGGTGAAACCCCATCTCTACTAAAATACAAAAATTAGCTGGTCTTGGTGGCGTGCACCTATAGTCCCAGCTAGCTCAGGAGGCTGAGGCAGGAGAATTGCTTGAACCTGGGAGGCAGATGTTGCAGTGAACCCAGTGAGATCATGCCACTGCACTCCAACCTGGCGCCTGGCAACAGAGTAAGACTCTGTCTCAAAAAAACAGAACAAAAAACAATATTCCAATGTATGAATGTACTACAATTTATTCTACTTTAGACAGATATTTGGGTTGTTTCAAGTTTGCAGCTAATGTTAATAGTGTTGCTACGAACATTCTTATGTATGTCTTTTAATAGACATAGATACACAGATCTGTTGGATTGTTCTTAGAAGCAGAATTCCTGTGACATAGGATATGTAGCCTTAGCTACTTCCAGTAGCCACTTCCAGTTTTCCAAAGTAGTTGTTAATAGTTTCCCTTCTCACCAGCAGTATGTTAAGAGTCCCAGTTTTAGCCATCCTTACTGATGCTTGATATTGTCTCTCTTTTTCATGTTAGCCTTTCTGGTGGAAAAGGTATTGTAATTTTGTATATTTGACGGTATAATGCATACACTGTTTCTGGACCATGTTCTATTTTATTAGTCTGTTTGTCTATATTTGCACAAATATCTCACTGCTTTAAGCAACTCTGATTGTAAATGTTATTATCTGGTAGTGCAAGTTGCCCAGCTTTGTTCTCTAAGATAGACTTGGCTATTTTTCCATATAAATCTCAAAATTGGCTTATACCCTGACACAATCAAGAAAAACAAACAAACAAACAGTAGTGGCTGAAATTCTGGTTAGAATCTCATTTAATCCATAGATAAATTTGGGCTGAACTGATTTCTCTATAATACTGTTTTCCAATCAATGAATATGATATATATCTCCATTTATTTAGGTCTTCTCTATTTCTTATGAAAAATGTTTCGTAGTTTTCACAGTAGTGGTCTTCCACATCTTCCTTTAGATTTAAGTATTTTTTCTCCTTTGTATGTGGTAATCTTACTTTAAAATTTCTTTTTCTGGTATATATATATAATTGACTATTGAATATATTGGCCTTATATCCAGCAATAAATTATAAATTCACTTACTAATGCCAATAGTTTGTAAATTCTTTCGAATTTTCTGCATCCCAATCATGTCATCTGGAAATGGGTTAGTCTCTTTGCATTGCTATAAAGGAATACCTGAGACTGAGCAATTTATAAAGAAAAATGGTTTATTTTGGCTCGAGGTTCTTCAGGCTATATGAGAAGTTTGGTGCTGGCTTCTGCACCTGGTGAGGCCTCAGGAAGCTTCAAATCATGACAGAAGGTAAAGGGGGAGCTGCCAGATCACATGGTAAGAGAGGGAGAAAGAGAGAGACAAGGAAGATGCAGCCTCCTTTGAAAACTAGCTCCCATGTGAACTCACAGAGCAAGAACTCACTTCTTACCATGGGGAGGGGCACCAAGGCATTTAAGAGGGAACTGCCTCCATGACCCAAATGCATCCCACTAGGCCCCACCTCCAGCATGGGGGATTACATTTCAATATGAGATTTGGAGGGGATAAACATCCAAATCTGCAAATAAGGACATTTTAATTCCTTCCTTTCTAGTTCTTGGGCCTTTTACTTCTCTTTCCTTATTACTGCACTGACTAGAACCTCTAGTGTAATGATAAGTAGAAGTTGTGACAGGCATTATTTTCTATTTCTTGATTCTTAGGGAAAGCTTTTTATTTATTTTTTTTCTTTTTTTACTATGTAGCTTAGATGTGTACGGAAAGCTTTCATTAATTTACCAGTTAGTGTAAAGTTTTCTCCAGATTTTTAATAAACCTTCTAGTCATATTAACAAAGTTCCTTTCAATAAGTAACTTGCTAAGAGTTTCTATCATGAATAGGTATTGAATTTTATCAATACTTTTTCTTTGCCTATCAAGATCATCATATGATCTTTCTCCTTTGTTCTATTAATATAGTGAATTGCATTGATTTTCAAATGGCAAACCTTGCATTCCAGAATAAATACTTCTTAATTGTGATGATATATTTTTACATATTGCTGGATTTCATTTATTATTTTTAAATTTTGGCATTTACGTTCATGAGGGATCAATCTATAAATGGTTTCATTTCAATATCTCTGTCTAGTTTTGATATCTAGATTATTTTGACTTATTTCCCAAATGTCAAACATTCTAGAAAGCATACATTTGAATATGTAATAGTACTTTATGATTCAGTTATTTATATATGGCATATGTAACACTTCTTACAACTTAAAAATTTTACATTAATCTTCACTGTTTTAATGTGAATATTTTGGT